CTGGTAAAGTTGTTCTTTTCATTTACATGTGTCTCAAACTTTCCTCCCCAAAATTTTGTAATAGAGTACTGTTGACATATTGTAATGTGTTTCATTTTTTTTATGTTTAATTGATCACATTATATTTTATTAACAAATATTTGATAATTAAAGAATCAGTGTCTTTTTAGAATTGAAACAGATTTCAGAACTTCTCAGTTTATATATGAGAGGAGACTAAAAACTAACAAACTTGGAACTTGTCTAAAGTTATCCAGTGGCAATTCTAAAATTAAATCTGTATGTAACATAATAGAAAAATCTTTATTTTAAATAATATAAACATACAAAATAAATCAATTGCAGGTTGCAGTTTTAAATATAATGGTCTGATTAGGTCTTGAGGTAGTGAGATTTGAGCCATGCTTTGAAGGAGATGAGAGAATTATCTGTGTGGTTATTGGGGAGTGGCCCAGGGAGAACAAGAAGCCATTGTAAAGATTCTCAAGTAGGGGCTTATGTTCAAGAAATAGAGCAAAGTGACAAGAAATAAAGGAAGATAAAGAGTGATGATGGAGGTTAGCTTATGTAGGACCCTATAAACTGTTGTAAAGACACTGACCTTTTATTCAGAGTGAAATTGGGAGCTTTTTGAGAGTTTTGAACACAGTAATAGCATCAGCTGACCTACATTTGAAAAGACTAATTCTGGCTGCTGCATGCAGACTCGGTTGTAAAGAAGAAAGATTGGAGTTGTAGACAAGTTAGGAGATAATCGAAGTAATCCAGGAGGGGGAAATGATGATATCTTGGATAAAGACAACAGCTATGTAAGTGGCACAAAGCTGTCAGTTTCTGAAATTTTGCAAGTAGGGCCATCAGCATTTCTGAGAGATTAGATATGGGCATGTGAGAAGAAGAGATGTAAAGAATGACTGCAGAGGTTTTACCCTAAGAAATTGTCAGGTTAGAGTTGACTGGAGAAGATGGAGTGAGGTAGATATAAAGAGAGAAGATGTGGTGTTCCACTTTGAACATATGAATGTTGAGGTGCTTATTGGACATGCATGTAGGAGTGTTACTAGGCAGTGAGATAGAAGAATGTAGTTGAAAACAACTGTGGAGTAGATACATGCATGTGAGAATTGTGTGCACATGGATAGTATTTAAAATCACCAGGCCAAATGAGATTACCAAAGAAGGACTTGATAGACAAGAGAAAGGGTAAGTAATGAACTCTGTACATATCGACCTTAGAGGTTAGATGGATGAAGTTGAGCCAGTCAAGCTGTGATTAATAGTATGAGGTAGAATATGCAGGAAATGTATCATGGAGAAAGGACTGAGGACTTACGAAGGACATTTGAAAAGCCTTGTGTGATGAGGACTAAGAGTTAACATGGTTTCAAAGTGGTTATTCATTTCCTCTGCATTCACGTTGATGTGGTAAAAATCCACGCAAGTTCTTCAATAATTATTTCAGTTTTTAAAGTAAGAAAGAAAGCAATGTCAACAGTGATACTGGGGTAGAAGGTGTTGAAGGACTGAGAAATAATAACATTGTCAATAGTTTAGAGTGAGAAGCGAATGGGTTAGGGAAATAATAGAAAGCGTTAAGAGCCTACTTGAGTTTCACAGTTGTGATAATCTTACGTGTGTCTGATTGACATACCATGGGCAGGATGAAGTGGTCCGTAAAGGCAATGCCAGTTACCTAATAGGTGTTTTTTTAAGTTGTGATGGTTATCATTATTTATATGTTTTATGAGTAATGGCTATTTTAAAGCAGTAAAAAAAAAATTCTGAAGGTGATATTCATCCTTTTCCTTAATTCACAAAATGGAAAGAAAATAATAAAGAAATGCATCCAGAACATGGGACCGTTTCTTTGGCACCAAAAGGAAAAGCACTTTTGGGGTTATGGAATATAAATTCTGGAAATGTATTTAATTTGGAATATGTTAGGCTCCATACTTTTTAGGTAACTGTGTTCTGGTATATTAATCAAAAGTAATTACCATCTGTTAATGAGTGTTTGCTCTGTGCCAGTATTGAAATAAACGCTTCCAATTGATGATGTCATTTAATCCTCTCAAGGTAGGTTTTTCCTCATCCTTCTTTTAAGGCTGAAACACCTGAGGCTCAGTGGAAAGTGTTATATAATCAGATGTGGAATTTGCACATATGCTGGCCGTGTGGTATTTCTGTCTTTCCAAACCAGTGTTCCTTGTGGCCTAGTTTTTTCATAATTGTTTTAAAAAGATAAAAATGTGTTTAGATCAAATTTTCAAATTTAGTTACACATATAGTTATTCGAATAAGACAAGTATAATAAACTTTTATATATTGTGTGTAAAAATAGCATCTTGTATGATTAATGTAAATAATAATTTTGTAAAGAGAGTTTTAATCCAGTATTCAAATTATAATACGTTATTTGCTTATTAAGATTATAGAATCATATTATTGGACATGGGTATGATTTAACAAATTCTTAGACAGATTTAGTGCCTTGCTCGGGATAACCTTGCTTCATAGCTGGATTTAGAACTCAGGGCTGAGACATCAGTTTGATATTTTATCCTAGAATTGTTTTAACAACTTATCTTTATAATGTTTATATTATTTTATTTTCTTCTATATTGTGTGCATGTAGGTTTATTTTAGCACCTGGCCTCAGGGAGATTTCGAGATTATAATCAGAACTTTTTATTGCCTGACCTGGACTTGAGAAAAGAAAATACTATATCTGTAATCTAATCTGTAATCTATGCTGTTTGAAAAGATTCTTTCATTTTTTTTATGTAAAACATAATTAGTAAACTCAATAATGTTGGAGTTTTTAGTTTTTACAGCTGTTTTTAAATGCTATTTATATCTCTTTTTATCTTTCTCTTATCTAAAGACCAAGACATTTGGAGGAGGTGGAGGTGGTGCCAGAAGTAATCTCAATATGGGTTCTGTTGGTAACAGAAATAGGGAAGTTCTACAGAAAGAAAAGTCATCCAGATCAGAGGGGAAACATGATGGTGTCTATAGAGAACTGGTAAGGCTACAGAAACAACCACAAGGTTAATGTGTTGGGTTTTTTTTTTTGTTTGTTTGTTTGTTCGTTTGTTTTTTTCATATTTTTCTTTGACTTTTTGGAGAGATGTTATGTAAGTTACATTTCCTTTCTTGACTAGAGAACTATCAAAATTTTACCTTTTTTTTTTTAAATGAAAAGTTCTCATTAGGTACCCTTTCTCCACTCTTTTATTTTGAAGAACTTATTTTAATACCTTATAAAATTTATTTTGTTTTGCGTTTTCAGTGGAAGTTGCTAAATTAGAGAGTACTCAAGGCGTAACCCCACATATCATACAGATTCTTCCTTCACTGTTAATATGAAAAAGTAGCGCATGAATGTTGTGTTAGTATGACATTTTTTCCCAAAGATATGCGATGAAATATTGAGTTGTCAGTAAATAGTTAAAACTTCTACCTAGATCTATTTATGTACTGCCCACATAGCTTTCTCTTTGTTCCTTGTAGGTTGATGAGAAGGCACTGAAACACATAACAGAAATGGGCTTCAGTAAGGAAGCATCCAGGCAAGCGCTCATGGATAATGGCAACAATTTAGAAGCAGCATTGAATGTACTTCTCAACAGCAATAAACAGAAACCGGTTATGGGTCCTCCTCCAAGAGGTATAATTTGTTAAGCCATGTGCCAGACAGTATTGTTTGCTTTTTAGAGCAGTGTTTGTTGTCAGTAGAGGCTGTTTTATTGCAGTGAGGGCTGTAATCTTATGTAACATTGTGGTAAGTAGAAGGAATGTGAAGCAGCTGCAGAATACTTCTGTGAGGCTGTCAGTCTTTACATAAACTATGTTTAACAGTGCTTTCTTTAACAGTTACTGTGAGTAATAATAAAAAAAAGTTACTTCTGTTAGTTATTTCTATAACCATGTCATTTTTATACATGACTAAATAGTATGTAAGCATTTTAAAATTAACATGAAAATAATTTTTACTTGATATTACTTTTTAGTCATTACATGGTTAAAAGTGTTATGTGCTTTTTAAAGTCTCAACACTATAGTCATTAAAACAATCTGTGGTTAAAGAAAAAAAAATTTTAAGTAACTTTTTCCTTAGAAGATAATTTATATGGAAATTCAGATTTCTGGACAGATCATTTAAAGGAATAAAAGGACTATTTAATATCATAATTCAAAAGATTTTAAATTGTAGAAGATACAGAAAAAATGAAAAGAAATATATGTAAAATCCTATTTAAGAGATTTGCTGATTATATTTTAGTTTGTTTTCCTATATACAACATATATGTATGTACATGCTTTTAAATCTTAAGGTAGAGGAAAAGGCAGGGGTCGAGTAAGAGCTGAAGATGAAGAAGACGTGGGAAATGCAAGACCTTCAGCACCAAGCACACTGTTTGATTTCTTGGAATCTAAAATGGGGACTTTGAATATGGAAGGTAGGCTAACTTAAAATAAATCTTTTGGAAAATACAGATTTCTGTTTAAAAGACTAAGCTCTATTTGGAATTGTGCAAAATGGCTTAATAAAGCCAAATGACAATATGACCTGTATGCCAAGGGTTCATTTAGAAATTTATTTAGCCAATTTCCTGTTTGACAAAAGCCCAGAAGAAAATTTGAATGGTTGCATTCTGAAAACATGTCAGCTTACTTAGCTCCCTGTTTATATGGTTAGTAATACCACCAAACCTTTACTCGGAATAGATTTAGCTATGTAAACAGATGGTTGTGTTGGAAAACTTACTATTATATACTATTATATTCCTTATGTAACTTACATAGATTATAAAATTGGTCTATCTCTTCTTTTTTTTTTTTTGTTGAGACTAGGGTTTGAACTCAGGACTTTGTACTTGCAAAATAGGTGGTCTCTCACTTGAGCCACACCTCCAGTTGGTCTATATCTTCTTTCTCCATGTTACATATTATGTGGTAATGTTCAGTGAGTGAATATCTTTTTACAATTTAATGTATTTCTTAATATGATATACTTTTTTGAATAATGCAAATACTGAAAAGAGAAATAAGTATGTTGAATATGTATCTTTATAAATATGGAATATGCTAAATATTATCTAAAATAGTAAGTTTCAAAACATTCCAAAAGATTAGGGAAACATACTCTTAAATTCAGTTTTCTCTTTCAGATTTATTTTTTAATCCAACCAAATAAGCTTAGAGGTAAAATGAATTTATTACAAATTTAAAACGTCCAGAGTTCATGAAAATGAGAGCTTACTTGCTTGGTTATACAGAAAAGATATTTTTTTGAGAAAATAAATCTTTGATATACATGAGATTTATAAGCAAAAACATGTTAGAACAATATTTTTTTGGTTGTAAAACATGATATATTAATTTTCTATTGCTGTGTAACAAATTACCACAAAGTCTGTGGCTTTAAAAATACAAATTTATCATCTAGATTTTATGTGTCAAGATTTCAGTTGGGGTTATGATCAAGGTCCTCTTACAATAGGCTCACTGGTTGTTAGCAGAATTCAGTTCCTTGCAGATGAATAACTGAAGTTCTTTTCTCTTGTTCTGTTGGCTGGGGACTCCTTTCAACTCTTACAAATAGCCCTTACGTGGTTGGTTGCCAACTGGACAGTATTTAGGCAATTTGACGTGACCTTCTACATGGGCAACAAGAGAATCTCTGCTGCTGCTTCACATCTCACTGACCCCTTCCTGACTGTTACTATTTTGGCAGTCTTTTCCAAATCTTTTATTCTATCCCACTCAGATCTCCTTTGATTTCCTTTTGTCCTCCTGTCCTCCCTTTATTTCCATTTGAATGTTATAGTGTCTCCTATATTATAATGAGGTTGATTTCATGTTTCTTTTTAATTAGATTGGTAATAGTAAGTCATCTATGACTTAGAATAAATGTTTTGATGGCTAGGAAAGTAAATATTAGTTTATAAATATGCAGACCACAATTATTACTATATTCAAAATAACTTTTGCTAAGCCCTTACATATTGTTCAGTATTTTTTTTTTTTTTAGTTTACACTAAGTAAATGATAAGCATTCCTGTGTTCTTTTAGTTTATGGTTTATTTTATCTCACAACCTACAGAGTAAGCTTCCTGGCAAATTTGTAATCTCTAATAATATTTAGTCCTTTGCTTCAGTGCTTTATTGTCAAAGTAAGACCAACTAGTTGTTTTGAATGGTTAAGAAATGCTTTAATCAGACAGACTTGAAAATAGGGTCGGTTTGCTATTTCAGTGTTTTTAAATGTTGTCTGGCCAGAAGCTGATTCCATCATTTAGGAGCTTTTTCACCCTAAACTCTCTTTAATGATACCACACAGACAAGGTTCATAAGTATAAACAAATAGCTACAGAATATATTTATACATTTACAGAAGTAAGTAGATATTTTCTATATTCTCCTGGGCCAGTCTTTATGGATACAATAGACATAGCAGGATTAAATGTAAACCTTGGTGTGTGGTTGCCCTGGTGTGTCTTTTGCATATGTCATCCTGTAACTCTTTGTCTTTGTTAACTCACTGGAGCACTACTGACAGTATTCTTTTTTTTTTTTTATTTTTATTTTTTTTTCATTTTTCTTTTATTATTCATATGTGCATACAAGGCTTGGTTCATTTCTCCCCCCTGCTCCCACCCCCTCCCTTACCA